ACGCCAAAGGATCAGACCACAGGCTACAGTTGTGAAATACGTTTAGAGCTTGACTTGGGTGGGGTCATGATAATAAAGGCTACAGGCCAAGGTCTCAATTTTAAAAATGAAGGCTTCCTCTTCGTACATTTGGAGCATATGAGATTATGCAAAATACATAAATAATAATTGCAGATGTGAAGATTGTGCTAATGTATTTTGTCCATCTTGACTCCTTGAAACGGCTACATGTAAATCAAATCAAAGAATCATTGTACAGGTATTGTACATGTATCGCCACTTTAAATCTGCTCATGGGCTTGGCAGTGTCGTGTTGCTTTTACAAATGGCATACAATTATTTTGTATATCTTTTGTATCTTGTCACCATGTGACCTGGTTGCCATATGCATTAGTCATGATTTGATTATCATGAGTCATGATTATTCAAATGATGAGATCGGAATTATTGGGGATAGTGACTTTTCTCAATCGCACTACACTATGCCAAGTGTTGTCCCTGCCACAGTCAATTGAATTACGCCGGCATTGTGAAACTGCCATCAGTGATGGAGCTTCTCAGATTGGGACATCCCAGTTCTCTACCAACACTACAGCAATAGGCACAAGTACATTCATGTCAACGGCATAGTAAATCATCTAACTTCTTGACTTTCAACCAAAGTCCTCTTTATTTTACTATTGATACCTGCCCATGTTTTATGACTTACTGAAAGTCATACTATCTGCAATATGCTGTGTTGCAGATTCCCCTTTTTAAATTGGACTATACTAGTGTATAATAAATGTGTGCATTATCTGCCAACATTTAGACGGTAATGGAAGATGCATGTTATAGTCAGATACTTTTCCTTATTTTGCCATGGAGGTGGATGTATATGATATGATTGGCCTATGTAAAAGACCAACTGCATTACTGCATCCTGTTTCAACAAGTTGTGAAAAGTGAGAACGTTAAAAAAGCAAGAGAAATTACATTGGGACCAAATTAAGGGTGTGGGTGTGTGGGGGTGTGTGGGTGTGTGAGAGAGACAATGTATGCAGAATGCTGTTGCTAAGGCTACCCCATGAACCAAAGCAAAGCTTGACCTAGATTTGTTGGTGAAGGTGTAAAATATCTAAGGGCTAACCTTTTTATTTGAAACTGTTTTAGGAAACCACAATGGCTGAGGATTCCCATAGAAGCTCAGCTGCAGAGATCACCATCACCAGCAATGGAGATATGGACCAGAACTCTGAAAAGGTACCCAATAGGGTAAACGCTTGTGTGTTAGGAAGTCACACACACACACAAACGACAATGAACTCAATCTCGAAAGCTCTTGTTATTTAGTTGCAATGAAATGCCTATTTGGTGTCCACAGTTGAAACTGGCAGTATGACCTTTCTTTTCTTCAATTACGTTACCTGCCTGGCTAGCAAGCTGTACCCAGCATGCCGTTTGGCGGTGTAACAGTTAATAGGGTACCCTCTCAATACACACAGCCCTAGCAAGCTTCGCTGCCTATTAATGAGTTACAGCAATTGTTTCACCGGTTTGGCGGTTTATGAAAAATTCATGTCATACAGGAAATTAACACCGGTATACCGGATGTACCGGTATAATTTATATCACCAAAGTTGTACAACTGTAGTGAAGCCCTTTAACACCTCCATTGTGAAACCATGTTGTGATATCCTCAACAATTTAACATTTTCGGTCTCCTTTTCGAATTTATCCGAAGTAAATCTTTTCCTGCATGTTCCACTAGTAAAAGTGCATCAATACTAAGTTGTGTGAAGTTGTCCAAGAATTTTTCCGCACCCCAAATAATGTGATGTTTTTGTTTTCACATTAAAGAATCCATGTGTAGAAAGATATTCATTTTTGGGTATAGGAGGATGTCTAAACTGAGTTGCGTTGGCATACATAAGAGGCCACATTGGTGACTCATGCTGTGATGGATGACTGGTCAGTTGTGCATTCAAACTGATCATTTGGTCATTTAAATCGTAACCATGTCTTTTATTGCTCACAATTATATTGCATGGTTTACATTTGTGTTTTGTATCCGTGTGATTGTGTCGCATCACACTGAATCTTTTGTGTAAACAATCCAAAGACAGCCTTTTTAAAGTTTTTCTTTGGATTGTTTTCGTGTTCATGAACCTGTTTTGAAAATATGAATCATATTATACAACCATAATGATCTCCTCTTACAGGACTCTTCTCTTAGCCCTGCCAGTGGACTAAACCTCTCAGAGCCCTATGTCCCCTCCAGTAACTACACTTCAACAACAGAGGGCATCATTGAATCAGGACCACACAGAGGTACAAACCAGTTCACATTGTATTTTAATTGCTGTCGTTGTGTTTGAATGCGTTTTTGCTTATTTTCCCCCAATTTCCTAATATACTATTTTAATTTCTTTATTACCCTGTAATTGTTATTACAGGGTAATTAAGAACATTCATTCATTCATTAACAGAGTAACATTCATAACAATATTGTTAATGGTTCACCACAATGTTTACAAGGAACTGTTTTGTCGCTTGCTATAATTGGAAACACAATACGGCCGCAATCTTGGATAAATAGGTGAGGCTAAAATTTGAATTTGTATAGCGGACCATCCAAGGGTGATTTAATGAGTTGCTCCTGACCTCCATTTTGTTCCCTTGATTTCCTTTTCATTATCGTGCCCTCACAAATGCAAATGCATATATTCTTCCCAATGAGTCTCGCTGTACCATTTTTATCATTCACTAAGATTACCACGGCCACTTAATTTTTTAATTTCAGTAGGCAGTTTAATTTGGTCAATTGGATGAACCAGACCATGGAATGAATAAATTAACTTCAGATTTCAAGATATTTTTATGGAAAGCGTGACGCGTCTACACTTCTACCCTGCGATATAAATCACTCGATATTCAATGGCCTCTCCTTTCACACTGGAAACAGACCTACTACTAATGAGTGACCACTGTGAATATCTCCCAGGGTCAGCCAGCCTGCCCACATCCCCAGTGACACCAGTAGCGGCCAGTATGGCAGTGGGCGGCCGTCTGGCCCGCTCTGCCAGTGATAGTCAGCCTGAGACAGGTACACCGCAGGCAAGGCTTGAGGCTAAGGGATGTGCCAGCACACATCTTTTGCCGTATGTGCATAAATCTGTGCCTCCCTGAGCTTGTTTTATCCCCTCCTCTGTTGTCTTAAAGGGTAATGTCTCATTCAAAGTAAAAACCCTCCCGTCTTTTCCCCGTCTCCTTTGCTTTAAACCCAAGTGATCTTGAGGTAGTTCCCTTCCCTGCTTTGACATAAAATCTCCTGATGCTAAACCTAACTGTTTATGCTTGAGGTGATGCTGGATGGGTACACTTTCTCTGGAAGAAAGCTGCTTTAACAGAAATCCCTCTTTCAGGTGTTTCTGCTTGCTTCCTGTGTCATTTGAGAACTACTACTACTACTACCTAGAATCTCTTTCTGCACTTGCTTTTTTCCCCTCTAAAAAACCTCTACAAAGTAATGTTCTGCTACAGTTGTGACTGTACTGGAACAGTTACACTGTGATTGTTGATGATTTTTCAAATATGATTTTTGACGAATGCACAATGTGATTTGACAATTGTAGTCATACTCAATAGTGTTTGATAAAATCTGATGACTTCTACAATCACATTTCCATTCTATTGAGTTGTCCTCTCCAAAAGCTCACTCCCTGGTGTTAAAGTATGTACATTCACGCAGGCCAGCAGAGGAGCGGGGCCATGGTTCTCTCGGATGATTTGAAGAACCCCGCCATGGAGAAATTGGACCTAGTGCGAAAGTGGAGCATCAACACATATAAAGTAATTATTATTTTTATCTCATTTTGGCCCATTTTGTGTTTTTATGACATTTTTTGATTGATTTAAATTCAAGCGTAGTCTTCTTAAATTTAAATTAGCATCTCTTTGAGCAACTCATTCTCTGTCGTCATTCTTCCATAGAGAACATGGCATAGAGAACATTGTTCTAATCCTAGACTGCATCTATGACCCACATCTCTCTCCACTGCTGTTCATATTTGTCAATTTTTAACCATTAACTTAAATTCTAGGGTGTCAATGTCGGGTTCCTCCCTCTCCCTACCCAAAGCGGTTATCGCTTAACGGCCCCCAATTCACCACCAGGTGTGATGTTGGTTAGCCATTACAAGCCAGTCAAAATCAAAGTCAAAATCGCTGGAGGGTAGATTTAGATTTTGACTGGCTTGTAACGGCTAATCAACATCACACAAAAAATGGGGGCCCTTTAAAGTTCTGACTGACGTCACCGGCGTTACCCACAGTGCACCAGGCAGATCCTGTCGGAGAAGCTGGGCCGGGGCTCCAAGACGGTGGACCTGGAGCTGGAGAGTCAGATCGAGGTGCTCCGCGACAACAAGCGGCGCTACGAGCACGTGGTCAAGCTGGCGCAGACCCTCTCCGGCCAGCTGGCCCAGATGATGCACACCCAGAAGCAGCTGGGGGACGCCTTCGCCGACCTCAGCCTCAAGTCCCCAGAGCTCCATGTGAGTCCTAAACCTCTCCAAGTTAAACGCAACAATTGGAGAAAGTGTACTGGGGTGCCAGGATGTTCTGCTCTGAATAATGTGATGTGAATGAATCTTATGAATTATGCATGTGTATCACAAAGAATTGTCACAGATATTTATATATTCAAACAACATGCAATGGTTGTCTGCAGCCCCAGTTTCCCTATTTTGCAATTGAGTCATTGTTTGGATTCAGTAGTGTGTGAAATGTAATTACTCTTTGCCACCTCTAGGAGGAGTTTGGCTACAACGCTGAAACCCAAAGGCTTTTATCCAAAAACGCTGAGACACTTTTGAGCGCCATCAACTTCTTCATCGCTAGTGTAAACACACTTGTGGATAAAACCATCGAGGACACCATGATCAATATCAAGCAATATGAAGCCGCAAGGTACCTTATACACTCAATTGTTGTGACAGGCTCTATTCCCACTCCTTAGGGGCTGAGTAGTCCAAGTGGCTACTGGCTAGGGTGTTCGACTCCCAACTGAAAGGTTCTGGGTTCAAACCCCAATGTCATCAGTCTACCCCTTGAGCAAGATGCCTAACTCCCACCTGCTCCTGAATGACATGTATCTAAAAACAAAAAAATCTCTAAATGGTAAATGGATTCAGTGCGTAAAATATTATGCATTTGTGATTTGTATTTATGCATGTGTATTTTTGGGTCTGCTTTCATTTACTTAAATGCTTCCCCGCTCTTAGGATCGAGTACGACGCGTACCGTACGGACCTGGAGGAGCTGAACCTGGGCCCTCGCGATGCCACCACCATGCCCAAGATAGAGGTCTCCCAGCGCCAGTTCCAGGCCCACCGCGAGAAGTACGAGAGAATGCGCAACGACGTCTCCGTCAAGCTTAAGTTTCTGGAGGAGAACAAGGTAAAGGCTTTGGGCTGCTACTTACTACTACGACTGTGTCCCTTTTACTGGATGTCTTGAGTGATTAGGTTTCAGGTGATTCTCTGATCTTTGTTTTTCTCGCTGGCCAACAGGTGAAGGTATTGCACAACCAGCTCATTCTGTTCCACAATGCCATCGCTGCTTACTACGCGGGGAACCAGCAGCAGCTGGAACAGACGCTCAAGCAGTTCCACATTAAGCTGAAAATGCCAGGTGGCGACACTCCATCTTGGCTCGAACAGAATTAGTCACTCCAGCACAGCAGCCATTACGACTCAATCCTAGTTCTTTGACAGGGAATGGATGGTTCCCCTGAACTCCACAGAAACTACAGGGAACACCTAGTTTTTGCTTTTTCTGTCTTTCAAGGCTGTAAAGCTTTTTAGAAGAAAAAAAAAAGATGTAACTGCTTAATGTTATTGGATAAATATTATTCTGAAGACTTTTCCTTCACTTGTCAGCTCTGCAATTCTTTCAAATCATGGGAAATTCACTTTTGTATGCTGAGAGCGATGCCTATTGAGACCTATAGTTTCTAGATGTGTCTAAGCTGTAGCCAGGTATGGTTTATTACAGCATTGTTTTTTCACTACAACATTCAAGTTGGTTTTGATTTTGACCATCTTATTGCCATGGCATTTATTATATTCAACATTTTCATCTTCATATTCTGAGATTTATTCGATAGGCTTCGGCAGAGGAAATAACGCCTCGTCATGAATTGATTGTACAGAACTGACAATTATGTGATGCTCTCAAGGTTTTCACATTTTCTTTAAAGTTTATATGAAGGGATGTGACTGGATTATGAATTATGAATTTAACACTTTTTGAAGGACCAGCCTTATGATCAGTCAGTGCCTTGATTGGTGTAAATTGTTAACACTCCCCATTTGTGTGACTCAGAACCCAAGCGCTGTCACTGTGCCTGCCTTTTACAATCTCACTGTTAAAGGGGGAGAAATGGACCAAAACGTGCACAAACGCACACATAACATGCACAAAGTACAACTACGGCACAGTGGACCACTGCATAAGAAATCGGTGTACCTCCAGATACCTAAAATGCCCTTTTAAAATAATTCATATGTTTAATACGTCATGCATACTGCACATGTATGCATTCGAGACCAATCATGAATCACTTTTGACTTGTACATTGTGTTCAAGATGAAAACCAAAATAACTGTCTATTGGGGGGGAAAAAAGACGACCCTGAACCTTTGCCTCCTAAGCTGCTAACTTTTTCATTATGATAAAATGAAACGAATATTTTGTGAAAATGAAAGTAGTAGTTTCTGGATCCGTTTTGTACCAGTTGTATGACTTTTGGTAAAAAAGCAGTTTGAGGACTTGAATCAAACTGGTGTTCTCTTAAAAGCATTTTCCAGATGAATATATATATTTGTAATTTCCTCTATTGTAGCTTTTGCTCAATAAAATGAATGCTGACATTTCGTCCTGTTTTTTTTTTTAAAACTTCCCAAACACTTGTATAAATTAATATTTAAAGTGTTGTTCTTATAGAAGCAATTAACAAATGTTATATTTGAAAGAGGTATGATGCTGTTGCAAAATAAAATATAAACATCCTTGAATGTGTTTCTGTATAATTGAACAGTGGAAAACACTAATGATTTCATGGATAGATGGCATTTTACACAACCATTGTGTACACAACTGAAACACTATGTAGGCCTACAGAATGATAAAAAATGAACATGTTATTACATACATTATGAAAGTAAATTACATGTTTTTTAAATAAAACCCTTTCCATTTTAAGACTCAAGAAATGTCCCTAAAATACAACAAAATATTCCATTATGTAATCTTGTTCTGAATAAGGATAAGCTGCTCAGTGTGTCCCGGTACTGACTGTGCCCACTGTCCCAGGACTCACTTTAATCAAACATGACAAGAGATCACCGCCCAATTAGTGCCTCCGTGTATGCTTTTGTGTGTTTACTTTGTTTAATGGCTTGGCGTCCAGGCTACACGATTGTCTGAGTCAAGGCCCATTTAACAAAGGGCTCACTGAGAAATGATAGCCTACACCACACCAACTTCAACAACTCCCGAAGCGTGGCACAACAGGAACTAGTCCTCACCTCAATGCAACTTATTGTCCAAGGTCTACACCGTCAGACTGATCCATCTATCTATCTATCCATCCATCCATCCATCCATCCATCCATCTATCTATCTATCTATCTATCCATCTATCTATCCATCTATTTAAAAGGACCAGGATGCTTTCTAAATTGCAGTAGGCTGCAATTCGTCACAAATCCCAGTGTATCACCATTTTGGGCCAACTTAGGCCACTGTCAGTGGTCTACATATCTAGACTGTGCCTAAACCCATGACCCCCCCCCCCCCCCGCCATACAGGTAACAAAGGGGTGCATCTATTTACATCCCCCCCCCCCCCCCCCCCACAAAGTCTCCAGACCGAGCAGCAGGAGGCATATTGCACCAGTCCAGTGTGTATCACGGGTGTGCAGCAGCAGCGAGGGAGGAGGAGGGGAGGAGGAGGAGGAGGAGGGGAGGAGGACGCGTCTAGGACACCTGGACCTATCACGGACCAGAGTGGGAGCCTGGCCGCCGCCGCCGCCGCCGCTGCCGCCCTTCACAGCGCTCACCGCGGGCTCCAAGGACGGGACTCTCTAGACCCCTCTCTAGACCCTTCTCTGGACCCGCACACCTAACGACGTCTGGACGACAGCAGCAGCAGCAGGTGTTGGCTGTTTTTTTTTTTAGCCTCCCTACCCCATACCCCAAAAAAGGGACGCATCGCTATGCGGGTTATAGTATAGCACTACTGAAAAGCGTCCACCCTAGGCTGGGATTAGACCTAGACCACGACCAGGTCCACCAGAACCCGCTTCATCCTCTGGTAAGTCACGCAGGGTTTGTGTCCCCCCCCCCCCCCCCCCTCATCGCTCATGCCATTGCGGATGCGACCCACCGCCGTGCTGGGAAGTTATCAAGCAATGCAAGTTTGAGGGTTTGGTCCCTTATTTACATCTTTGGTTATCTCTTATAATATCAGTTGTTGTTTGTGTGTGTGTGTGTGTGTGTTTTCTTCCCTGTACAGCAATATCCTGCAATGCAGTAATAGTGCAACATTGCAGAAATATGTTTAAAAAATAAAAAATATATTATATAAAAAATATAATTTAAAAAAAATTATATATATATATATAAATTTATGACATGTAGATCAATGCACTGTTGACTATCTGATGAGCGTGCTTTAAGAGTCTAGTAGTATTCCACTGATACTGTATGACAATGGTATAATATTACTATATTATATTATATTATATATTATACTATCATCACTGCCAGCTGATGATAGTAGTACAGTAATATGACTAGAAATTGTAGTGTACACTGCAACTTTAGTTTCAGTATGACACCAAAGTGGTGATCTGGTCCAGAGACCCCCGCCAGCCCCCTGGTTTTACACGTATGGCTTTGTAACAGTGTCGAGGTACTTAGTTTTGTCCTAAAGCGGGACCCTGGCTCCCTGGGCCTTTTGTGTGCCATTCCACATGCTGAGATGAATTAGAGGGAGACCCATTCAAGTGTTGTGGGAACAATACCCCAAAGGGGGAGAGAAAAGTTTCTCCGAGGGTCAGGTCAGGGGGGAGGGATGGTCCCAGCCCCCCGGTTGCTGTGGAGGCCGAGACCAACATGGAAAACTCACTGCTCTGACGTCAGCGCAGTTAGGGCACTTGATTTATTTGTGTGGGAGCAAGGAGGGACACTGCATCGTATACTTGTCAACGTTGTTTTGTGACAGTCTCGGTTTTGTGTTACTACTACTACTACTACTGTTACTACTACGGGGATGAGCCGACCATTTTTTTGTAATCCACTGAATCTTTTTTTAAGGGGGAAGTTGTTTATTAGGATCTATATTTTGTGGATGAGAGACCCGGGCGTTGGAAACCGTCTGTATGAGGCGCCTGCTGCCGCCGCCACGATCGGTGGTTCATAGGTAACAACAGCTATTCTTACACTGCTATTTGCATTCGTCTATGCTCCTGGGCACAGTCTTCCCCCTCCCCACTGCCATGAAAACATGTTTGTATTCGCTCTTTGTCTCCCACCTGTTGTCTCTATAGCAACCCCAAACACCTGCCTCAATCTGTGCTTGATTCTGTTGCATATCATCCGTCCGCCAGTTGGCTTAATGTGTTACCTGTAATCTGTAAACTTTGGTATACCTAATTATTTCAAGACCATACTTACATACATAAAGTAGCAAAGTGTATGCCTACTTCAAAACTTAAAAAAATGAAGTTCCCCTTTCAAAAGATAGAAGATGCTCTGGGCATGCTATGGATCGAATTGCCTCAAACCCGAACCCATGGTTGAGTCCTTTTGCCAGATGTTCAGTGGAGCTGATGTTTTGCTGGAGGCTAGACACTGAGAACCCCTGAACAATAGAACAAACAGGGAAGTATTGTAGGCTTTGTTGCCCCCCTCTCCCTCTCTCTCTCTCTCTCTCTTTCTCTCTCTCCCTCTCAGCCTCCCATCTCTGTACCGCCAGCTGATGTTTGTTTGCATTCAGGAGCTTCATTACACTCCCAAATAACACTTTCGTGACGCATTT